TTTTTTTTTCGAATGATGATCGAATCTCAGAGCTAGGCGTTGGTCCTGTAACTGCTTCCCTTCAACGTCACCTGCCATTTAGGTATGCTTCCAGAAAAATTTTCTGCTTTTTACAGTTCGCAGGAAGTTTTCGACACGAATTTTGTAGCTTATGGTGTTGTTTAAGTAAATTTTCAAAATTTTTGCCTTTATTTTTCGCTTTGCGCGTCAAAGAAATCTCAGTAGATCTGATATTATATTTCGAGCTTTTAGCTAAGATATACTCTGACTAAAGTTCACTGAGAATAGAAACGAGTTGTTTTAAAAGTATTTATTAATAAATAAAAGTGGTAAATTGTTTATTCTTGCAAATGAGTGACGCAAAGGTGTCCTAAAGAAAACAAAAGGGAAATTCTAGAAGTGCAGTTTGATTCGGTGTTCGGATAACCACAAAGCGATCCGTCCTGTTGTGGATTTATCCGATTGCTGATTCCAATCTTCAAATTTGTCGATGATCACCTTAACATTTTTGCGCGATGATTTTACTCTTGATAAGTCATAAAAGGAAGTAATGCATACTTGGGGCCAAGGTAAAGGCCATTCGAGTTGATTTGGAATTCTTCCTTCTGGCACATTACGCTCCAGCTCGTACATCGTCCAGAAGAGAAATAATCTTCGAAATGGTCGGGTACGAGGTCGCAGAACGTGAGGGACTTCACAGAAAGCGTGATAAACGCTGCAAAAATCAATTAATGGAGTTAGTCTGCTCTCTAGCGAGATCTTCTACCGTAATGGGTAGGTGAATGAGTGCAGGAGTATTGTATGGAGCAATACAAGGTGAGGATAGAGTTCTGATTACCTGAATATGATGCTGCTGATCCAATAACCCATTACCACATCAACAGAATAGTGGATCCGTGACACTACCATACAAATCATCGCGATTATGCAGGATGTGATAGCTGCCAATCTGAAAAAGGTGGCTAATGATATTAGTTCCATAAGCGTGACTTTAGATATCTCAAACTCCTTTTATTCGGTTATTTCTGGACAGCTTTTTGATGAAAAGTTCATATTTCGTTTGGTGTTTGATTCCGGCGAACTGTTCTTAGTTTTCATACAAAATAACTCGTTTTTAGGTGTCAAATTTTTCATCTTCTTCAAAAGCGAATCTTAAGGCGTAATTTGTTGGAGATTATTGCTCTAATAAGCTTTCGACTGCGAGCTCGAGTAGGCTGTCGATTTTAGTTGAGAATATATAGGTGAACGTACTCATCTGTCCTTGTTTTTACGTATGAAAGCACGTAATAAAGCGCTTACTTCAGCGGCCACAATGAATGTGGAGTGTAATAGTTTAAAAAGAAGCAGCTGGTAGAAATTGCTGTAGTGTGACCGGAAAACAACATATCGCCACAATGTATCTTTTCCTTTAAAGCCTGTACTTGAAGTCCCATCTAAAATCGGAAGAGTATTGTTTCTATCAAGAATCTGTGTTGAGATTGTTTGCGAGATCTTGTGAATATGCTGCAACTGACCGTTCCCATTATATTCAAAAATTTGTTGTAAACGCTTTCCAACGAAGGATTTGGATTCTGGTTTGGAGGTACACAGATGCTAAATCTTCTAGCATCTTTTAATATGTGAATCATGAAATTGTAAGGTAAAATAATTAATGTAAATTTCTCGGAAAAAAAATGGAAAAGAAAGGATACTAGTCGGATGTTCAGCGATGCAGCAGGTGCAATAATACAATTTCTTAATCTTACTCATTCTCGATGTCACTGAAACCAGATGGGATATGAGTTAGACAGATACTGATGGCGCGCATAATGTAGAGTACTGTCGCTATGTAAAAGAAGCGTCGACTAACGATCCATCTGAATTGAAAGACTGATGCCGTCCATAAAAGCTATAAAAAAGCCCTTTATCTTACCTATACTTATGGAAGACGAAGCCAACCAGGAGAAGCACTGATAGTGCAGCAGAAGCAAAAATATCCGACAAATGTCTAGGAGTTTCATACTGTTCTATAAGGGAATGAGCCAAATCAGGAAGGGGTATACTGAAAAGAGGGGTTTTCGATTTTAAATAAGAATCAGAGCAGCGGCACACTGCTTGGGTCGACGACGGCGACCCACCGGCTAATTATGTCTGATATTACAGCAAGTACAAAGTGATTAATGCACACCACTATAATAAAGCACAGAACAGTCCAAAGAGTCTTTATGCGCTCAGCCTTATATGCACGTTCTTGGAATGGCCTCAAAGGGATTTTTACGGTATTTGTTTCATCTGAAAGGACAGCAGTCATAAAAATCTGAAAGTTAGTCCTCAAAGTCAAAATTTTGATATAAGCATTCATGTTTAGATACCTTTGCAATTGCAGTGCTGTTCAATAACCACCTTCGAAGGGCAACCGCATGATGAGGGGATAGCTGCGAAAGTTTTTGTGAGATCACGACCAGTCTAGAAAAGTATCTTGAGTGATATTCCCTTGTAAATGATTTTCATTTGTTTCACAAAATGTTCCAATCATACAACTACCAAATCTTATGCACTTTTCCAAAAATACCGTTCCATGTCTTTGTAAGACAATGTTCGCTCACCTCCGAAGCTAGTGGAGTTTCCTGAAAAGAATAGTTTGAAACAGCTTGCCCAAAAGCAATAGAAAAATAATCTTATAATTATAAAACCTATCGCTACTCAAACCCGACGGACGAGTAGTCATTAGATAATGAATTGATATTAGAGCATATCATCTTGCTACAGTGACAAGTCCTCCATGCATCATTAATAAATTTACAGGATACCAAAAGCAGCGCCCAGCACAAACCCGCGGAGGCGATACGCAGATCAATCCGTAAATTCTACTCCCTCCATTCATCTCCTTTATGAGGCAACGTATACTCGTCTGCAGAATGAGGAACTCATCTAAGCTATATATTCTCCCATTAATATTCAATTCGGCATTTCTTTTTGCTCACAATTGTTTTCTCTTGTTATTTTGCAGTGATTAGTACAAAGCAAAGATCGACATATTCAGAGAGATTTAGTTGTGGAATGCCACTACATTGCTATCTTCAGAAGTCTAGTTCTTCCGCATAGCAACGGAAAGTGGTTCTAATATGACCAAATAATGAGAA